TGTATGGATGTGAGAGCTGGACAGCGAAGAAAGCAGATAGGAAGAAAATTAATTAATTGGCAATGTGGTGATGTAGAATTTTCATTATTTATTTATTTTATTTCTATCCCGCCTTTCTCCTGTCGAAAGGGACCCAAGGCGGCTCACAAATCTAAAAACATATTACAATAAAGTAATTAAAATATCATCTAAAAACAATATAAAATTACAGACATTAAAACCACACTAAAACCATGATACCCACCCTATATAACAAAGACCCAAGCCACCCCATGATTATATATTAAAAGCCTGCCTGAAGAAAGCCGTTTTTGCTTGCTGACTAAAGGCAAGCAAAGAGGGGCCAGCCTTGCTTTTCGTGGAAGGACATTCCAAAGGGCAGGAGCAGCCACCGAGGAGACCCTGGATGGCCAAAAAGGCAAGCAAATGGGATCAAGTCTGAAATCTCTCTAGAAGCCAAGATGGTGAAACTTGTGCTATTCAACATCTTTATCAATGACTTGGATGAAGGAACAGGAGGCATGCTTATCAAATTTGCAGATGACATCAAATTAGGAGGAGTATAGCTAATACCCTAGAAGACAAGATGAACATTCAAAATGATCTTAATAGATTAGAAAGCTAAGCCAAAGCTAACAAAATGTAAGAGAAATGTAAGGTATTGCACTTAGGGTGGAAAAAAATCAAATGCATAGATATACGATGGGGACACCTGGCTTAATGAGATTTCTATGTGTGAAAGGGATCTAGGAGTCCAGGTGGACCAAAAGTTGAACATGAGTCAACAGTGTGATGCAGCAGCTAAAAAGGCCAATGCGATTTTAGACTGCATTAGTAGAAGTACAGTATCTAGATCAAGGGAAGACATAGTGCCACTGTATTCTGCTTTGGTCAGGCCTCACCTGGAATAATACTGTGTCCAGTTCTGGGCACCACAATTCAAAAAGGATGTGGAGAAACTGGAGCGTGTCCAAAGGAGGGCAACTAAAATGGTGAAGGGTCTGGAAACCATAAAGCCCTATGAGGACCGACGTAGGGAACTGGGTATGTTTATCCTGGAGAAGAGACAGTTAAGAGGGGATAGGATAGCCCTGTTTTAAGCATTTGAAGGGATCTCATACTGAGAATGGAGCAAGCTTGTTTTCTGCTGCTCCAGAGAAAAGGACACAATGGA